GCAACACCCCTGATTAGTGGAGAAAATGGGGAAAAAAAAAATGAAAACAATGGGGAAAAAATGGAGAAAAAAAAAGGGAAAAAAATTTTTAAAAAATTGGAAAAAAAACGGGAAAAATTAAAAAAAAAAAAGTGAAAAAACAACTTAAGAGCCACTGGTGAGCCAAAACAGCCCGAAATGAAGAGATTTTTGTGACAATGGAGGTAATTTTGGGACATGGGACGGTTTGGGGTTGGAAGGAACCTCGAAGCCCATCTCATTCCAACTTCCCACTATCCCAACTTGCTCAGAGCCCGCGGGGCAGGGAGGCCACATCCAAAATGATCTTGGAAACGAACCATTCTTCGATCAAAACCCGTGAAAACGGGAGGCGGGAAAAGCCACAGGCGGAGCCAAAATCATCAGCAGGTGACCAGAGCTCGACCCTGACATTAAAATCCGCTTCTCCAACGTTTAAAACAACCCCCCCACCGCGTTAAAGAGTTTTAATATCACCAGCAACATATTGGAAATGGGCACTTTGCCCTTCCCCGCTCTCTCACAAGAGGTGCCACGAACAAAACATTCCTTCCCTTCCCACTTTTGATATCCCAGGGCAACCACAACCCCGTCCTCTTCTCCACCCACACCGGCCACCACCAGGAGGGAGTGGCTGAGAACTCCCATCTCCAGCAAAAAAAAACCACCAAACCTCGACTTGGAATGAAACACTCGGAGAAGGGGGGGGGGAAAATGGGCTGGATTGTCAATTTTTGCTGCTGATAAAAGCCACATCCGCTATTACATCACCTGAATAATTAAGTTCTTCCAAGCACCAAGGGCAGGTTTAATCTTTTTTAAAGCGAAGATCAGAAGGAGAACAGAGAAGATTTCGAGATAAAGCTCTCGGTGGCTGCTTCAAAGAACTCGGTGAAAATTGCTTTTGGAAAGGAGTTGGGTTGTAGCTCGTTGTTCCTGCACGTTTATAAAACCCTTAGCAAAGCAAAACTATCTGTCCAAGGGATTCCCAAATCCCAGTGCTTATTTTTATGGCTTTTCCTGAAAAAAATGGGAAAAAAACCAAACCAAACCAAAACAAAACACCTCCTCTTCCCAAATTTTCTTTCTGGAATGATTAGAAAGATTCACACCGAGGCTGGTCAGGATCTGCAAAGTGAGTTTAAAAGGTGAGGTTTAATGAGGGTTTATTCTGATTTTTGAAGGGGACTGATTGCAAGAAAACCCACACACTTCTCCTACCCCTTCCTCCCAGAAATGTCACCAGGACTTTGTGCTCAGTTCCACTCCTCAAGGACTCCCACTAGGGCAGCAAAAGCCCTTGTAATAGTTTATTTTTCTTTTTTTTTTTTTCCTTTCTGTTCAGTATCCAAATTGGGAGTCTCTCCCACCAGCCCAGTGCCAGCCTGGCCCTGAAGCACCCATGCCAACTGGGAAGAGTCCGTTTACATTTGGATTTAAAAGAAATTAATCTTAACTCAGAACTCACTTGACTTATTGCAGGAAATCTGATGGTTTTTTTTGGAACGTTTCATCTCCTACTTTTCGTAAGAGAGACGTGAAATAAAACCAGCACTGGGGACAGACTTTTGTGAGCATCTATTTCACTTTTTGGCCAAATTCATCCCAGTTTTGAGAGCCTGAGCTGCTGGAAAGTGAGTGCTCATAATTTTATCCAGCACTTCACCTGATTGAGTTCCCACAGGATGACATCATGGTGATGATGATCCCATCAGCATCCAGGTAGGAATTGCAAAGTAAGAGAGCAAAGAGGCAAACTTTGAGAGCTGAACGTCGAGTCGGGACTTGACAAACCAAGCCAGTACCAAGAACTTATTCAGAATGGGGAAATTATTAGAGAGATGATGATGATGATGATGATGATGATGATGATGATGATGATACCACACTGAACAGCCATAGGAGCACGTGGAATTATTTCCCCAAACACAACTGGGAGGAGGAACAGCAAACACGGATTTTGAACCAAGAGATGACTAAATGGGATTATTTTATGATTGGATTGTGTCCACTTCCCTGCTTTTTTTTCCCCCTTCATTTCTGAAGGGAGACCACAAGAAAGATGGAGAGGGACTTTGGACAAGGGCTGGAGGGACAGGACACAGGGAATGGCTTCCCACTGCCAGAGGGCAGGGACAGATGGGAGATTGGGAAGGAATTGCTGGCTGGGAGAGTGGGGAGGGGCTGGATTGGAATTCCCAGAGAAGCTGTGGCTGCCCCTGGATCCCTGGGAGTGTCCAAGGCCAGGTTGGACAGGGCTTGGAGCAACCTGGGATGGTGGTGGAAGGTGTCCCTGCCCATGGCAGGGGATGGAAAAGGATAATTTTAGAAAACTGAGGGCTGGGATGTGGTCACAGAGCTGCCACGGCTCCTACAAACCCTTCCCCTCTTTCCCAGTCTCTCCCAGAAACTTGGGAGCCTGGAGGACACCAAGGGCAAGGTCTTTGTACATAAACCCCCCCAAAATCCACGTGGAGCCAACTCCAGTTGGCAGTTTGGGATGGTCTGGCCTCAGGAGAACCACTCAGATATTCAGAGTTGAGTTCAAGGACATGAATTGCTGGTAAAAACAAAATTTTATTTAGGAAGCGAGGGATGCTCCCCACAAAGCCCCAAATTTTCCCCCAATTTAACAATGTGTTTCACTGGCATGATCTAAGGACAAAATTATTCCCCTCTTTTCCTCCCTCCCTCCCAGCTTTGGAAATCTGTTTCAGTTATAACTGTGGATTGTTTAATTAGGGAAGCACGTTTAGTTTGGGGGGGGGGAGATAAAAAAAAACCCAAACAACCAAACCCTAAATGGATGGGTTAAAAGGAAAAAAACAACAACAACAAAAAAAAACATTCTAATGCTCCCCGAGGTCCCTGGGTCCTTCAACCCAATTTGATGTGAATGAAACCATTATTGTTCTTTTGACCCCTGCTGAGCCATTATCCAACGGTTTGTTGGGGATTGGAGGAGCGTTTTGTTGTTGTTTTTTTTTTTTCCCTACAGGATTTTGTTATTCCACCAGCCAGGATTTCAGCCCTCAGCTGGGCAGCTTAAGTTTTGGAGGGAGTAAAAAAAAAAAACAAAACAAAACACCAACCAAAAAAACCCTCTTGGTTTTATAGATTCTGATAGGAATTTTAGATTTGTTTTAAGTTAATTAAGAGAAAGCCACGCAGCCCCTTTTCCCCCCCCCCTTTTTTTTTTAATAAAGCAGTTAAAAAAAGATTAAACTATTAAATTAAAATATTAATAAAATAAATATTATAAATACTAAATAAATATTAAAATCTGCAGCAAGGGAGACTCAATCAAACCCATGAAACTGCACACAACACCCCCCCCCCCATCCCACAGATTTCCTGCCATAAAAATGTTGGATTAGGAGAGTCCCACCCTAATAAAAGCCAACAGGGAAAACAGCAGAAAGGGTTAAAAGGCAATAAAAGGATTATTATTGAGCCTAACCCAAACCTTTAAGTGATACTTTATTGCATTAAAAGGTGAGCTCTGATGATTCAGCTGGTGTTTTTTAACTGCTTCAGAGCCCAAATCCTGATTTTTAATATCCCTGTAGGTGCAGGTATTTGCTGTAAAACCTCCTGGAAACAGAGTTCCTTTCAAACAAGTTAAAGAAAATATCTGTGCAGTCATTCCAAAAGCAGTTCCCCACTTTGGCTCAGAAGTAATTTAACACCTAAAATACTTTGTTTTCAACTGCATCAGAATAAAACTGAATAAACCAGGGGACAGTTAAGAGGCTCCTGTTCCTGAGATAACTGAATTAAACTGAGTGGGCAAGTGATAAAAAACCCAAAAGAAACCCCATGAGCTGCGAGCTCTGGTTTTTTTTCAGCAGACACACAAAGTAAGATTTTATACAGATGTTTTTCTGACAGGAAAAAGGAGGGCAGAACCTCCAGGCTAATCAAAGCACCAAAAAACTCCTGCAGGCCGACGACGAGGAGCCGAAGAAAACCAAGTGCTCGAGCTGATGACGCCTCAAGAACCAAAATCCCACCCCAAAATCCCAACTCCCACTCCTCTAACGGCCACCAACTAATTCCTGAAGTCCTGCTGGTGAAGTTGCTTCAAAAGAATGTCTCTGTACCCCTGATGGGTCCCACAAAACCCTGAAATTCCACAAAGAAAAGCCACCAAGCAGCGGAGGAAAGCCTCCAGTTTTCCAGCAACACCAGAAGGACCAAAGGCTTATCCGAATGGTTTGAGGATGGCAAGAACTTGGCCATCCCTGACTTTTCCTGCTGTTTTGCCTTCATTAAAAGATCAGTTTGGGCTTTGCATGAGTTGAAGGAGCTGAACTGAACCAAGGTGTGCAAACACAGCTCCAGGTCACGGATATTCCAAAGCAGAGAGAAAAAAGAGGTACCAGGACACCCAAAACATCTGAAATAACACTGGAATAACTGGATTTTCCCACAGGAGTCCCACAGAAGGCACGGCAGCTGCACTCTGGGTGCTGGGAAGGGTCTGGTTTGGAGCTCAGCCTTGGCATATTCCTCAAAACACAGAAGAGATTGACTCAATCCCAGCCTCTTCTCCCAGGGAACGAGGGGCAGGACAAGAGGAAATGGCCTCAAGGGGAGGTTCAGGGTGGACTTCAGGTGGAATTTCTCCATGAAAAGGGTTATTAAACATTGGAACAGGTTTCCCAGAGAGGTGGTGGAGTCCCTACCCCTGGAGGAGGAGTCCAAGGAATGAGTGGACGTGTCACTCAGCGCTCGGGGTTGGGTGACAAGGTGGGGACTGGGTCACAGGTTGGACTCGTTGATCCCAGAGGTCTTTTCCAACCTGAAAGTCAGGGATGGCCAAGTTCTCGCCACGCTCAAACCGTCCGGATAAGCAATCCAGTTGCCATCCCCGAGCTGCCATCCTCAAACCACCCAGACAAGTGACCCCAAATGCCCAAACTCGAATCGCTTGGGCAAGCAACCCTCGCCGCGCCTCATCGCCCGCGGCCGCTCCTCACCTGGTAGGGACACGGGATGTGGTATTCCCGGCAGCGCTCCTGGATCCACGTGGTCTCCCACACGCCGCGGTAGGCCTGCTCGTAGAAGTAGCAGCCGATGACGACCAGCAGCGGCACGAGGTACAGGACGCTGAACACGCCGATGCGGATCATGAACTTCACCAGCTTGTCCTGGTTCTCCTTCTCCAGCGGGATTTCGATGCGCACCCGGTTGAGGGAGATGATCCCGGCCAGGAGGAGGGAGACTCCCACGACGACGTAGAGGCAGAGAGGGGCGAGGACGAAGTACCGCAGCGCGTCCACGTCGTAGAGGCCGACGAAGCACACGCCGCTGATGTTGTCGCCCTCGATCTTGTTCATGGCCAAGAGGATGATGGTGAGAGTGCCCGGGATTCCCCAGGCGCTGGCGTGGAAAAGCAAGGCCTTCTTCTCGATGGCCTCGCTGCCCCACTTGGGCACGGCGGCCAGGAACCAGGTGATGGTGAGGATGACCCACCACACGCTGCCGGCCATGGTGAAGAAGTAGAGCACCATGAAGAGCATGGTGCAGGCCTTGTTGTGGGAGCCCTGGGTCACGGTGGACGCCTTGTACTGGGCGGGGCTGGAGGCGTTGCACGCCACGCGGTCCTCCAGCAGGAAGCCGATGAAGAAGATGAGGGACACCATCATGTAGCAGACGGCGTAGAAGATGATGGGCCGCTCCGGGTAGCGGAACCGCGTGACGTCGATCAGGAAGGTGAGGAAGGTGAACAAGGTGGCGGAGAGGCAGACGATGGAGATGACGCCGATGAAGTAGCGGGCGAAGGAGAGCTCCTCGCGGCGGAAGTACATGTTGGGGCAGGGAGGGGAGCAGTCGCGCACCCTCAGGAAGGAGTAGCCCAGGTCGGGGTCTATTTTCAGCTCCCGAGGGCACCAGAAGCCGTAATCCCTCTGCACCGCCATGGGGGCCTCTTCCGTGGGCTCCCCGGCCGCGCTGAGGTCAACGAGGCGAGGGTACGGCTCGTCGCAGTCCGGGAACCTGAAAAGTGGGAACAGGAGGGTTTACAGGAGGAATCCCCACACCCTTTGCGAAGGTCAGTGACCCCATCTGCACGTGTGACTTCAAGGCACAGCAACCTTATCTCTAGGTGTGGCTTCAGGCACGCCAACTGGAGCGAGGACAGACCATCCAAATTAGGGGGAGTCCACGAAACACTGCACTGTTTACACCCAAACTCCCAGAGCTCCTTGTCCCGGAGCGCAGGGGGTGTCAAAACTACAAAATAGGTTTAAAAATTAAACGGAGAAATAAGTGGACAAGGAGCCCACTGGGGCTTCAGGGATAAAGGTGAGGGTACCAAATCCATCTCAGGAGGTCTGTAAATTTAATCTTGCTGTAAACTGAGACCACGTGCCCATGGATGCAGGTTTTTATAGTGCATTTTAAAGCCTTTCCTAAGCAACTTCACTTGCTGCTCTCAGGGCAGCGAGATGGTTACACCCAAAATCCAACCCAGCATTCATAAACTGAAATTACGATGAAGATGTTTGTGTGATTAAAGCTCTGACTGGAGGCTAAGGACTGCCGGAGGAACAGTCTTGGAGGAGAGACTGGAGGGATTCCACACACTACAAGCATCCTCTGACTTACGTTGCCAAAATAATTCTTAACTGCTTTTCCTTCTCTCCAATCCAACTGTAAGAGAAACTATTTCTTCCTGTTTGTGGTTCTGTATTTTGACTCTTGGAGTCAATATATTTAAAAAAATAAAGCAGAAGGTATTGTTTTTAATTTCATGCATGTTCTGTTTCAAATAGTTTGGAACGTCATCAAATGCTTTTTCTGTAAGTTATTTCTGTAAGTTATTTGCAACGTGAAGCTGAAAACTGCTGTTTGAGCACGAGCTCAACAAGAGGTAGATGCTCTGAAAACAGAGAAATCTTTGAGATTTCGTGCTCATCAAAAACAGCCAGTTTTTCAATTACTGGGCAGGTGACGGAAATAGGAACCAGGAAACAGGAATCAATAAAAACAGGCCGGGAAAATTGGAACGGAAAACACGGGCACTAGCGGTGGAAAACACCCAAAACACCTGTCCGAGACCATAAAAACCCCCGGGACGGTGCCAAAATTTTACCGTAAAAAAACAACCCGTCCGGATCTCCTCACCTGGTGCACTCCATGTCCTCGGGCCAGGCCACCCCGAACATCTCCATGAGCTTGGAGCACTCGCTGTAGGCCCTCTGGCAGAGCCGGCGGCAGGGCAGCGTCACCCGCCCGTACTCCATGCACACCGGGGCGTACAGGGCGCACAGGAAGGGCCGGAAATCCCGGGAGCATTCCAGATTCACCATCGGGTGGAAGGGCTGGGGAGGGAAAAAAAAAAAAAACAAAAAAAAACCTGGGGATTTGAGGGCCACAGACAGCACATTCGCAGGGGATTCCACTCGAAGCTCTGATTTGTCCCATCTCAACCCGTAACTCGTTTCTCTGTTGGAATGATCAGGTATTTTGGGAAGACGGGTGATCAAGAAGCCTGGGGACAACGACAGCGGTTCACAGGGGACATTTATGCCCTCGATTTGCCTTAAAAGCAGAGGGAATTAAGAAGCTAAAGCACCCCACCCCCACCCCAGGGGAATTTCAGTTCTGCCATCAGAGCGCGTCTGCGGAAGGAAAACAGCCCCAACCTGCACGCTATCATTGTCATATAAAACTCTCATCAACTTCCCAGCTCCCAGGGGAGGGCTGCAACCACAGAGAAGGCAGGTTAAATATGTCATTCCTTCCCTAGCCATCAGAAGGCACCGTGAAATCAAAGCCTGGAAAAAAAAAACGGAGTCAGGAAAAGAATGGCCGGTGTCTCGTGCTCCCGCGGTGCTTTTATGACAGGTCTGAGTATCGGCGGGAGCAGCGCTCCTTGGAAAACTCAGAGAGGAAATCCGTCACAGTTGGGCAAATACAACTGGTCTTGAGCACTTCTGAAGATGAAAAAGGAGGAGAAATAAGTGGGGCAGGGATTTATGTCTGAATAAAAGCTGGTGCACGCTGATAATCCTCGTTATCTTCTTACTACCCCGCGAGGGTTCGCCCCGCTCTGACTCGCCTGTAAAACTCTCCAGGAGTTAATCAATATTTTATTCCAAGCCCATGTGGCACGTACCACTCTCCAAAGCCTCGCCATCTCTTTGGATATTAATGTAAGATCAATTACATCCCTTTGAGAGTGGAATATTCCAGGACACAGAAGGCTGAGATCCATCAGGACTTACAACTCTGGAATGAAACGTTGTTTTGACGCCAGAGTTTCCCCTTCTCCCCAGCCAGGCAGGATTACAGAGCAAAAGGGATTCCAATCTTCAGAGTTTGTGGTGCAATAGCTGAAGCACAAATGAACCTGCTGCAGATAAATACATATATAAACCCTAAATCTTATTAGAACCGAAGCTGAAGAGGAGCGGCAGGAAGATTATATTTGCCAGCAGCAATTTCCTGAGAAGTATTTTAAACCAGTTCAGCTTTTTTTTTTTTTTTTTTCCTTTTCCAAACTATAGAGTAGAACAGCCTAAATAATAATAAAAAAAAATAGGTCATCTTCTGTGGCAATCTAAATGAGAAATACTAGGAATTACAAGGAGAAGTTTCAGCCTCACTTCTCTCTTATCACCTCTTTACTCTTTCAGTTCTTCCTTTTCCCTGCAGAAGGTTAATTTTTGGAATACAAGACACAACCACGCTGTGATTTTACTGTTTTGTTGTGGGTTTTTTTTAAACATCTTTATTATTTACCAAACTGATTAAATTCATTTTTTCCAGTGTTCCATGACAGGAGAGATGTGCAATTTGACAACAACCTGCGTGAAGAGCAGCAGAAACCTCCACAAGGAAAAAAGCAGCCAGCAGTTGGAAAGTATTTACATCTACAAGCTCCTGTGACCCACGGGAATCCTTCTGTTTGGCTGGACAGGCACTTCAGATGCGTAAATGTGTTTTTATTTTTGAATGTTTAGGACCTACAGCACAGTTAAAGGCATTGTTTGACCTCGTGGATCCGAGGAATCGATTGTAGGGAGTCATGATTGGAAAAGCTGAAGGTGAGTCTTCCTTTATTCGATGCAAAGGGAAAATCAAGGAATTGTTTAACTCTCTTTTTTTATAAAGAACCTCGAAAATCAGAAAATTGAGTTATATCTTTATGAAAAAGAGCTGCTGGCTTCATTCCTGGCTCGATCCCCAAATCCTGCCTCCTGCCACGGCAGATTTCCACACCTAAATTTCAAGTTCTCCTGACAAATGCTCCCCTACTCTCTCCTCTGCTACATCTCCAGTCAAGGAAGGGTGTTCCAGAAATTCCTCTTTTCCTGCTGTTTTGCCTTCATTAAAAGATCAGTTTGGGCTTTGCATGAGTTGAAGGAGCTGAACTGAACCAAGGTGTGCAAACACAGCCCCAGGTCACGGATATTCCAAAGCAAAGAGAAAAAAGAGGTACCACGACACCCAAAACATCTGAAATAACACTGGAATAACTGGATTTTCCCACAGGAGTCCCACAGAAGGCACGGCAGCTGCACTCTGGGTGCTGGGAAGGGTCTGGTTTGGAGCTCAGCCTTGGCGTATTCCTCAAAACACAGAAGAGATTGACTCAATCCCAGCCTCTTCTCCCAGGGAACGAGGGGCAGGACAAGAGGAAATGGCCTCAAGGGGAGGTTCAGGGTGGACTTCAGGTGGAATTTCTCCATGGAAAGGGTTATTAAACATTGGAACAGGTTTCCCAGGGAAGTGGTGGAGTTCCCCAGGAATGACTGGACGTGTCACTCAGCGCTCTGGGTTGGGTGACAAGGTGGGGATTGGGTCACAGGTTGGACTCGATGATCCCAGAGGTCTTTTCCAACCTAAATATATCTGCAGATTGCTGGAGAAATTCCCTTTTAAGCAGGGCTAATCCAGCAGGACCGTTCCCCAGCGCTGGCTGTTCTGGCTCTCAGCACCTCCAGGCCTCCCCCACACCACTTTGTCTCTCAGAACAGCATCTGCAGGGGGAACAAAAACTCTCTTTCTGAATTATAATCAAATCATTTTAAAATCACGAGGAGGCTCAGCTGGAGAACAGGAGAAGGAAAAAAAAAAAAACCAACCCTACAACAACCCCTTGTGAGGCAGGAAAAGAAGACTGACCTGCTTCCAAGCAGCAACAGCAGCATCTGTGTCTTCAAGTGCCCCATCCCTAAAAATTATCTCAAAATCATCCTACCCCTTTGCAGCTCCCAAGATGAAAAGTCACTTCCACCCACTGATTATGTTGTTCCCTATTAAAACTAAAGCCAGGGGCATTAAAAAGACTCTTTTCAGGCTCTTGCCCAAGGACTCAGCACAAGTTATGACATCAAGGCCTGGTGCCTAACAAAGGGCTCTCTGTGAAATGGGATGTGCTTTTGAAAAAGAGGTCTCTTGAACAGCTCCAAGAGGGAAAGGGAAGAGGGCAAGGACAAGGGAAGGCATGAGGGACAAACTGATTGCAGTAACTCAGGCCAAGTCCTGGGAAATCCCAGAAAGGGAAGAGATAAACGTTTTAAGGGGAGATAAACTTGTGCACTCCTGGAGGTCCTTAAGTATTTAAAATACACCAGATCACACCACTGTGTAAGATATTCCCAGTTCTACACCCACTGGGTCCTTCCAGCTCTGGGAACAACCTTTATGACCACGAGAATTCCTTCAATCCCAGTGACAAGTGTGAGCTCTTCCAGGCTTGAGTCAGAGCCCTCTCCTCCCTCTCTTCGCCATCCAGGTGTTGTGTACCAAGAACACCCCCCAGCCCTCTCTCACCGCTTCCCTCAGAGCAGCACAACCTGCACCACAACCTCTCCCAGCTCTCCCTTCCCTCTCTTCCCCAGAATTTTTTTGTGCTGGCAGCAAAGCTGTTTTTAAGAAGTTTCCCGATTCCCAGCAGGGTGGCCCCAGCTCCCTCTTTCCCTACGATTCCCATCTGCTGAAAAAAAAGCTTTAATGGCCACTCTTTGACAGAGAGCAGAAATTTCCTGCTTGCCTTAGTTTTGCCTTCAGGAGGGGATCAGGGGATCATGGTTTGGGTTGGAAGGGACCTTAAAGATCATCCAATTCCACTCTCTCCCAGCTTTCATCTCCCAAGGGACTAAAGACAAAGGAAAGCTGGAATGATAAGTGTCCATTTCCCACAACCCCTCAAAAAATTTTCTGAACAGATTCTCATTTTCAGTTACAAAGCAAGAGCCATAATTATGTCTCTTAAATACCCCCTGGACCCGCGTTTCAGACTTCTCATATTAAGAGAATAATATTAAGAGAGATAATAAACCATTATCTCTCAGCTAATAAACCAAATTCTTCTCTTTATTTTACACAGCAGTAGCCACTTAAAACTGGCTGTTACTCAGGCAGTGGCAAACGCAAGATTTAAAGCGAATTATTTTGGCGATTTTTTTTTGTTTCCCCCCCCTTATCTGTTCCACCCTTTGAACAGAGAACTAAACAGGAAGCGTTCTCATAAACTCACAGAGGGAAGGAGGGAAGTTTTCTCCCCTCGGGCTCCTGGGAAGAGAGTGATGCTATGACTGTCAATTGCTCTTTGCAATTCTCTGGTGGAAGCAGCTGCCTCGGGGCACATCCAGCCACAGGAGCTGCTCTTTCTGCCCCGCCTCGCCCGGGCTTTGATTTACCCTGCTGTTCATCGGGAGAAAAAGGCTGGAATTGTATCTCAAAGGGCACGGGGCGATGCTGCCTTCCAGGCTGCCTCCCCTGAGGCTGCTGCTGGGTTTAACTCTTGGTGAGGCTGAGCTTGTTCAGCTTTTGATGACCACAGGGTCTCTCTGACAACCTCTCTCCCAGCAGACCTGGCTTTCTGGAGACAGTGGAAATCTCGTTTTCCAGAGTCCCCCGCTCCTCTAAACTTGACAGGTTCCCCAGAGCCTGCGCTCCACGCTCCTGCCGCACACAATTCACCTGGAAACGCCTCATTTTAGGTTAAATCCCAGGCTGGAACAAACAGCTGCCGCCAACTTTCAACCAGGCTGCGCTCGAGGGTCCTGCCTTCGCTTCACCCACCTGGGACCTCCTGGAGGAGCTCAGGGAGATGTTCCCACAGGCACAGCAGGGCCGGTGCTTGGCAAAAGGGCACCGATTTGGGGCGCTTTGTCAGGGAAACGGAGCCATTCCTGCTTTTCCCGCCCGAGCTCGGCTGGAGCTGGACGGTGACACCCAGGAAGGGTGGCAGAAAGGGCCAGATCGATCCATCCCTGCCCAAATTAACGTGGCTCTGGAGGTGCAGCTTCACTGTAGACGCTCTGTTCTGTTTTCTGAAGGCCCCAGGTTTGACTTTGCCCAAGCCTGC